CTCACCCCCCAAAACCCAAATTTTCTCCTCATTTTATACTTATCCGCTTAGTTAGAAAGTATCGAACCACTTATGTCTCTCCTTTCTTCTCCGTCATCGTTGCCGGAATTTTCATCATCGCAGTTGTTATCAAAGTTTGTGGGGTAAGTTTCTTCATCTTTTCTTCATTTTTTGTCTTTATTGATCTTCATTTCCCTCAATATATGGGACTTTTGCTCTGTTTAGGGTTTTTAGGAAAAGACTGGGTTAGATCGTAATTGTTGTTTAATTTTTCTCAATATATAGGGCTTTTGCTCTATTTCGTTACATTTTGAAGTGAAAACCCTTTTTAATGTAGTGGCATGCATGTAATGGCATATTTGGTTATTCCGTTTAGTTTTTAGATTTTTTTTTGGTCAAATCAGAATTTCATCTTAGATTTATGCATTTTTTTGTGAAATTTGTTGGGTCTCGTTCTTGTTAGTAGTCCACCAGAGTATTTTTGAATATTATAGGGTATTGTGGGGACGAAAAAGGAATCTTGGAAGCTTTTTTACTTAAAAATCTGTCTTTTTTGTTGGTTTGTTTATGGAGTTGTGTAAATGTGCAACTTTGATAATAAATAGTCATTGATAATACCGTTTTTTTTTTGTTACTTTGCAGGTATGAGAAGAAAATGGCTTCAAGCCTAGTTAACCTACAAATCCACCACAGTGGTAATTTTGTATCGGACCCTGAGCTAAGGTATGAAAATGCACTAACTTGTCCTCAATTAGCTACAGTTGATATTGATGAGCTGCATATTATGTTGTTTCACAAGTTTGCTAGGGACTTAGGATTTTTAGAAGTTGATTTGTTTGGATGCAAAGTTAACAAAAAGGGTGGCTATTACATTTTAAAAACAGATGCTGATGTGTTAAAGTTTCTTAATACATTGAATGGTGGTGACTTTGTTGATGTTTGTATTGTCTATAAAATTAGGAATCCTATTTTTGTTGAGGACATAACTGAACTGGACCCCACGCTATAAAGACATAGGCATGACAGTGGGTTAAATGCTAGGGTTGATGTGTCACTTCCCAACAATGATATAAATAGGACCGAAAATGATAAAGATAAGAGTAAGAAGGCAAATATAAATGGAGAGATAGAAGAATCAGATGAAGGTGAAGGTAATAACTTCTCATCCTATCACCTTCAAACATCAGAATCTGATTTTGATGAAGACTTTGATGATTCTGAAGAATCTGACTCACTGTTTGATATAGATGAGAACATTGAAGAGTGTAGTAATTTGGAAGATGACTCAACTGAAATTAGGCAGTCTAAAATCAACAAAAAGAAGGATGCCCAAGTAAATGTAGATGAGATACCATCTGGTCCAGTTGGTATAGATTCTGGTTTTAAAGATATGCATAAGAACAAAAGGGGAAAATGAAGGGAAACTAGGAGGGGATGACCAGTATTTTGATAGCTCAGATCCAGGTAGTGAGTGTAGTGATGGTGAAAGAGAACTTGTTGGCCCTGATGAAGTAAGGGACGCACCAGCTAGGAATCCAAGTAAGAAGGTCTACTTTGACACAAGTTGCAAAAAAATATTATTTGAACTGTATATGATATTTGAGAATGTTGTACAGTTTAGGGAGGCATTGCAGACCTATTCTATTCAAAAAGGTGTGAACCTTAAGTTGAAACCTAATGAGAGGGAAAGGGTTAGGGCAAACTGCACAAAGAAAGGTTGTCCATGGCATATTCTTGGCAGCATAGAAGGTAGCACCAGAAATTTTAGGATGATTACATACTACCCTGTCCATAAATGCTACAAGAAGACAAGGAACAAGATGTGTAACCCACCATGGATTGCAAAAAAAACTTCAAAGACAGAATAATCAGTGAGCCTCAAATTAACCTTCATCAAATTAAAACCTTAATTAGGAAAGCATATGGTCTGTATGTGAGTAAAACTTCCTGCATAAGAGCAAAAATGATAGTTATGAAGGAGAATATGGGTGATTACAAGAAAAAATTTACTAGGTTTCATGGCAGCAGCTTCAACTATGGAAAGTGGCACCTTCACTCAACCAATCACTGGTCCAAGCAACAACAATCAACTAATATTGTTGGAGGTCCAAAAAGGAAGACCAATGAGCCTAGAAGAGGTGGTGCAAATGCAGGGTCTAAGAGACCAAAGGCAGCAGGATATGGTGTGCTATTTGATTCAAGTAGCACTGTGATACAAAGGGTAAATATTTTCACTTAATTACACAGTCAACAGATATGGTTTACTAGATAATCCCTCACTCACAAACTTTTATCTTTGTGCAATCTGGAACTACTGACAGAGTAGTACACAATCCTTCTACACTCATAAGTTCTGCCCCTACCAACATTGAACTTAGGTTCAAACCCCCTGGACTAAAGTGGAAGGGTCAAGTTGCAGTTACACAAAGGCAGCTAGCTGCAAGAACAGAGCTACAGAAGGGCAAACTCTGCTACAATCACTCAAGCCACACCAAAGACACAATCCACACGAAGCAACTAAGCCACAACAGACATTAATTAAAGTGATCAACTGATATTTAAAGATTTAATGATGGATGTTTTTGATAACTGCCTATGGTAGACAATATTTTGTAAAGCTACTTCATTATGTATGTTTTTGTTGATTGCCTATCGTAGATAATATTTTGTAAAGCAACTTCCTTATTTTGGATGTTTTATTAACTGCTTATACCAGGCTATGATATTAGTAGTTCATGTACTTGTTGCTGTAATAGAACCTTTGTCAATATATTCCATGAGCAAAATTTTACATCAACACAAAATATGTAGCCTAAACCCAGGAAATAAGAAAGTACGTTATCAATCCTAAACACATAACATAAGAGCTAACATTAGAATAACTACAACCGTAATTATAATAGCAGCAACTCTAAACTTCGACCTTCCTTATCTTCTCTAACAATGGCATCGATCACTCTTCTTAATAAGACCTGCAAGAAGAGTCTTGTAGTGTTCTTCCTCAATCGCAGGATCAACCCATCGAAAAAAGCCACAACCTTCACCAATCTCATATCTTCGGCAGCCTAGGAACCTTCTTCCAGGATTGGTGGGTGTTCGTGACATTTTAAGATCTGCAGTAAGTCCACAATAACACAAAGGTTCCTTCTTCATTGCTGAAGGAGAAGACGCGGCAGTAGCTTATTTCTTGCCGGAGAAGAAGAAAAAACTCTACTTTCAAAAGAAAAGAAGATGGCACAAATTGATGGGCAATGAAGAATCCCAACAAAAAAATTTATATTTTTCACTGTTGAAGCTAACACGAGAAAGAAGAAGGCATCATATTTGGATAGAAATTAGCTTCTATAATGTTCAACAATGGAGAATAAGGTAGAAAGAAGAAGATGACTGTTAAATAAGCCACATTATTACCGTTAGGGCTTTTTCAACTGCCATCACGCACCTTACAGGCGTGTGAATCACGCACTAAAGCCAAATATGACACATAGGATCAGCCTCCTGTCATAAGCGTTTATTATACACGGTTTGAAGAAGTGTAAGTGTCCAATTGGCAAATTGTTAAGTTTGGGGACCGGCATGACAAAGTGGCACAAGTATAGGTGCCATTTAGGCCATTCTGCCATTTGTTTTTATTAAAGTACTACTTCACTTGATAAAGTAGACCGAAACGGAACTATTTTCTGTATTTATTTATAAAAATTGCAGCTGTAAATACCGTTAATATGGGAAAGGGGAGAGAGATAATCCAACTCTCACATATTATGTGAAAGATTCTCACAGAAACCATTAGACTATAAGCTTTGATAAGTTGTTTCAATTTTAAAAACAAATTGAAACCCAACTACCGCGTTTGTTTGGTTTGTTTTTTTCAGCCTAACTCATTTACTGTTTCACTGAAATCAAAGATTGGTTATCAGGGGAAAAATTAACTTCATTGACAAAACAATTACTACTCATTTCTCCAGAAATAAGACTGAGTAATCTACGATTCAAGAATCATTAACTTAAAAATTAATATATGGTTTATAATCTAAACTTAGATATAGTTTGGATTCTGAAACTGGTTACATTAAATTATCTGTTCCATAAAACAATGCATTCAGTTATTTTCTAGCTGGAATTTATAAGAAGATAATACACATTACCAAGTACGAACTGATTGTGAAGCTGGATTTTCTTCAGAAAGAAAAAAGACAAGATCAAATTAAGTACAAAGATAAAAAATTCAATTGGTTTGGATGCGGATTTTAGAGGAAAGGCCACGGTAGAGCTTTGATTTGCATGCGCAGCCCGTGTCCTTTTTCCGGAAGGTTTTTATGAGAAAATTGATGAAAATGTGAAATCGTGCCTTAAAACTCATTTGAGTTGACTACGGTCAACGTTTTGTGTAAACGGACCCGGACCAGTGCTTTGACGGTCCCAATGAGTCCGTATCGTGATTTGAGACTTGAACGTATGCCCGAAATCGAATTCGAAAGTCCCTAACTTGAATTAACGCAATTTGTTGAAAACTAGCAATTTAAAGAATTCATAAGTTTGACCGTAATTTGACTTTGTTGCTATCGGGTTCGAATTTCGATTCCGAAACTTAGTATAAGTTCATTACAGTATTTATGACTTGTCTGCAAAATTTGAACCATTTCTCGATTTGTGCGTGTCATCCTTGCGCAGGGGCCATGCTAATCTTCTATGTAACGTTCCAATTTTATCGTATGTCTTGAACAACAGTTCTTTGGAAAAATGAAGTCTTAATTTGACTTAGTTGTAAAGCAACAATATAGTTGACTTAGAGAAAGGAATAACTCGAGCATTTCAAGTAATTCTATCATAAATTGGAGGACAAAGAAAAGTTCAACTTTGATTTTCAAGGCTAACTCTTCCTTAGTGAGGCACTCCATCTTAGACTCAGTTTACTAGGCTACCCTTCTTTCTGAATTTGCATATCAATAAGATCTCTGATAGCAAAGTGCGTAGAGTTCAAGTTTTATTCAGTCAAAAGTGTAAAATATATTTATACAATCAAGTCCTTCTAAAGTAGTTATAGGTAAATCTCTATGATAACCTAATAAAAATGGTAACTAATCTGCTATAAGAGGTTAAACTACAGCAAGTGAAATTTTTTTTACACAGTCAGATGTATTAAATCCAAGTGAAAATAGACAGAGAATATGAAATGCTACTACTTTTTGCAGTCTTATCAAAACAAGTGAGAAGGGCATCTTCATGGGTTCATGTATGAGTTGCTGCCAAATTAGAATTAGCTTCAAGTCCAAATCAAATAAGTATTGAACTGAAATAAGTGATTGACCTCCAAAAGATTAAAATACTGAGTAACTTCTAGAACAAACTTTAGATTATCTAACAGTAGAGGATGGCAATTCGGGCTTAACCTGTTTAAAGTAATTTCATAGAAGCAGCTCCATCCTGAGATGAATGCATTTATTCAGTAGTATTCGAGCATTCTAAACATGTTTCCTGCCAAAAGCCTATTTACCTTTAACACAAGTGGGATTACCATTTTGCAGTGACATCGAAAGAAAGAAGAGCAATGTAGGCTCTCTTAACTGGCCAATCCAAATTCTACATGAATTTGAATAACACTAACCGCATTGCATGTGGATATTCTTCCTTGCCACCTTCAATCTGCAAGTAATAGCTATAATAGAATCTCATTAATAAAATCAAGATGTGTTTTACAGCTAAGGTGGATTAAATTCTACATACTGCACTAAATTGATGTAGCAGTAGACACCACCTGCAGTTCGTAAAACCTCTGGAAATCACAATACAGGATTACGGGTACCTCTACTAATATAGAAGAGAACTCCCTTCCTTGACAAGCACAAAAAGCCCACCATCTCCTTTGGATATCCGCAGATCCTTATCAAGGTATGTCGTGAGAAGCCAAGATTTTGTCCTTTCACCTGGAATTTGGATCTTGAGAGGAGGCTGACCAGAAATAGTTCGTGCTATGCCTGCCACAGCGTTTTCCAGGGGACTTAGAGATTGCTGCACTGGAGAGAGACTTATCTTTTGCCCAAACACATCCACATTTTCTGGCAGCTCTATGTTTGATTTTATCTCTGGAGGTTTAAAATTCCCTTCCTTAAATTCAACCTGCAAAAATAAGCAGTTGACAGCCAAATGCAGAAGGAAAATTTAAAAATCTCCCAAAAATACTCTATGAAAGGTTATCATAAAAAGAATCATGACCCTCCACAATTTCCTGATATCTTGCACAATTAGTTCATAAATTCCAAATTAACCGTTGGCTGAACTACTAACTCGTTTTTTTTCTCTTTGTCCATGATATTGCTGTAAGTACCTTTCTAAAGCAATTAGATTGTAGTCGAGAGGGGTACCTGTATTCTAGAGGGGCTTCGAACTTCAAAAGTGGCAGTTGCACTAAAAGACAAGGTGGCTACAGGGCTTGATAATGTAGTCGAGTTCTCTATAGTAAAGTTGCTTGTATCTATGCCTTGGCTAATCTTTTCTACCTTCACCAGAGGAATGCTGCCCGCAGCAAGAAGAGGTAACAACTCAGAAAATGCTGTAAACCTGACACGTTGAGAAAGAAAAATGAGATTATTTGCTGCAAAATACATCACTTAGCATTTACTTCAAATCAGTTTCTGCGTGAAATTTCACAACAAAAGATTACATTGTTCAGTGTTAACACTAAGGTAAGATTGCATTTATCTCATTGAAATCAATATAGCATCCAGTTAACACTTGGGAACTATAAACAAAAATACGCTTTTCATATTGAGACATAGAGCTATAATCTTCCAGTCAAGGCCAAGTCCTGAGTGAAAGTCTGGACCGTTCCTCCAACTAAAATCACCAACAACAAAAGCAAAGAATTTATCACAGAGATTCTTGGCCAAGTCAAAATCCAGACGTTACACACTACATTCCAAATTTAACTTCTTGATTCTCTATAGTGACATTTTGGCTGTCCAAAAATATGTACACATCCTTTAGCTGAAACTTTTTCATTAACTTTATCCGAAAACCACTTCAAAATGCCATTTTCATATCTCACAAAATACAACAACAACAACAACAACAACAACAACAACAACAACAACCCAGTAAAATCCCACAAGTGGGGTCTGGGGAGGGTAGAGTGTACGCAGAACTTACCCACCCCACGGGGTAGAGAGGTTGTTTCCGATAGACCCTCTGCTCAAGGAGACAATATATCAGTACCATCAACAGAAACCATAGTAATAATAACAGCATCATAAGTACCAGAAAATAGATGAAAAGCAATAACAGTAACACGTAAGAAAGGCTCGGTACTATGAAAAGTGGAAGAAAAGTGTGGACACAACAATAACCACTAGCAGTCTAGGACACAACCCTATAAGACTAGCCTTTCACCCAGTACGAAGTAGAAAAGAGCTCCACTACCTCCTAACCTACAACCCTAATGCTCGACCTCCACACCTTCCTATCAAGTGTCATGTCCTCGGAAATCTGAAGCCTCGCCACGTGATAGCATCCTAGGAAGCTCAAATCTATTCAAGTACAAGAATGAAGCTTTGGAATCTCAAAGAGGGCCTTTAACAAGATGTCAAGCTAAAGAGTTGCAAAACAAGGTCATTAGACTTCAAGTGCAAATAAAAAAGTTGTTAATTGGGATGGAGAGCTCAAGGATAAAGGATATGAGTTGTCTAGGTATTATAATTATTTTATGGTCCAAATTCACGTCCAAGAAAAGGTGGATTAGATCCCAAGAGAGATCCTCTGAAAAAGGTCCAAATCAGGCCACTATTGGACCTATTTGACACCTAAAAATGTGTCCAAACTTGCAGCCCAATAAGTCCTACATGAAGCCACGTTTTTATGACATAAAAAGGACTTACTTGATGCCCAAGAAAGGTTCAATAGGCGTGATAGAAGTTGGGTACAAGTTGGTGCCAAGTTGCTTGCAAGTTGCCTTCAAGATTTCCAAGATCCTATCCATGATTGGTTTGCGACTTTCAAGATTCTATTCAAGATTGGTCTTAACTTATTTCCATATATTTTGGTACTAGATTTATTGCTTTCCTAGGTAGTTAAGGTTATGTTTTCCTTTTCCTAAGATTGTTGGAGTTACTTTCCAAGATTGACTTGGTTTTTGTTTCCTAGTGTTTTTCCTTTTCCTAATGTATTTGGACTTGTTGTCCAAAGTAGTTTAGGACTTTATTTTCTTGTTTTTAGGTAGGAATTTCGTGACCCCCTCTCTATATAAAGGGGTGTCCTCTTTGTTTTTAGATTTTTAGATTATTATAGACTATTATCAATAAAAATTGTGAGATTTTTCTTGCACACTTGTGTGTGGCTACTCTTGGATTTATTCTTCAACCTTCAAGACTCAACTTAAGGTGGTAAGATTAAACTCTTTCGAAATCTTAGATCACTTCTAGGTATTCAAGAAAGGTTGATAAGTTTAGGCTTATTGTTGTTCTTTTTATTCTAAAGGGTCGGGTTTCACAATCTATCTCTTGTTTTTAATTATCTACCAAAGGCGATTAGTTCTTTGTTAGCTAATTGTTGTTGTTAGGATTCAACTTCAAGAATAGACTTCTTGAATTCAAGAAACTCTTTCTTGAATTCAATCTATCTTTAATTTTTCGTTTTTTTTTTTGTTTCTTTATTTTTTTTTAGCTTCCGCACGTTTCTTGATTCTCTTTAGTAATTCTTGGACCCCTATCGTGTTGTTATCACCACGTCCTGCCTGATCACATCTCCCTAATACTTCTTGGGCTACCCTCTACCTCTTCTCATACTCGCCAAAGCCAACCGCTCGCATCTCCTTACTAGGGCATTCGGGCTTCTCCTCCGCACGTGCCCGAATCATCTGAGCCTAGCTTCCCGCATCTTGTCATCTATCGGAGCCACGCCCACCTTCTCCCGAATATCTTCATTCTTAATCTTATCCATCCTAGAGTGCCCGCACATCCACCTCAACATCCTCATTTCTGCTACTTTCATCTTTTGGATATGAGAGTTCTTAACTGGCCAACACTCTGCCTCATACAACATGACTGGTCTAACCACCGCTCGATAGAACTTACATTTGAGCATCAGTGGCACTTTCTTGTCACATAGGACTCCAGATGCTAACCTCCACTTCATCCACCCCACCTCTATACGGTGCGCGACATCCTCGCCGATCTCCCCATCCTCCTGGATAACCGACCCAAGATACTTGAAATTGCTTCTCTTGGGGATGACCTGTGATTCAAGCATCACGTCCATGCCCGCTTCCCTCGACTCGGCGCTGAACTTGCACTCCAAGTATTCTGTGTTACTCCTGTTCAACTTGAAACCCTTAGACTCAAGGGCCTATCTCCAAACCTCCAGCCTCTCGTTAAGCCACTAATATATAATCAACGAAGATAAGTTAACTCTTGTCTAAATAATTGTAACGAGGTGAAATTAGAGCACCACTCAAATAGTTGCACTGTTTTTGTTAGGCATTAGCAACTCATGCTCGCATAAAAAGGCATAAAGCTATAGAAGTTACATAATGGATGTTTCATGATAGAACATAATGTGGGAATCTGGAACGCCATTATAGATAATTATCTCTTGTCAGGATCTTTAAAGGATGTTCATAATGAGTGTAGTATTTGTTGATAATGATTATCTCTATGGTTAAACATTGAAGGGAATGATGCAACACTCGGAAATCCATCCAATGTCAACAAGGCCTACTTAGAAAAAAGCAAAAATTCCTACAGGTGAGCTCAAATTTTTACAGAAGACTGTCATAGAAGCTAGAAGCAGAGGGCTGTTTGCAGACAATTCGAAATGTGAATATGCCTAACGTCGATCATAATTCTTGTCAGAATCCTGTACAAAAATTCATTTTGAGGGTTGTAATCGAGAAAACTTTGTCCATGGTTTGACATAAAAGCAATGGTGTGAGGTTTGAAAATCCATCCAAGATCAGCAAAGCCTACTTGGATAAAAGTAGTTCCTGAGGTGAGCTCCAAAATTTTACAGAAGATAGTGGTGGAAGTTAGAATACGAGGCTGTTCGTGGGACGATTTGAAATATGAATATGCCCTATAGACAGGTCTTTCGATAAGAACTTGGAGAAATCTTCAAAAAGATTTATGAATTAATAAACTTTGACTGATGCATAACAATTATCTGTTATAAAAAAAATCATCAATATTTATACCCCAATGGATTTTTCTATCATACTATGTTACAGAAATACAGTTTTATAAAAGCATATCTTCAACCTTTAGGTTTACTTCTGTGATACGTGAACCAAAACAGTAAATGTCAGTGGATCTTAAGATCACAGATCTAATCCTATAAATTATACTTCATAACTATTAAGAAACAGTCTATCACTAATTCCAAGCATTTTTAACTTTCAGTACTTAGTACAACTCTATTTTCCAAGTAGAAGGAAATAATAACAAAAACAACAATAGCAACAACCACCACCACTACATAATAGTTATAATAACAATGAGAACAAACAACAATACAGCTGAGATCCCCCTTTTATAGGAAGTTAGTCAAAGCACTTCCCCCCTTAGATAGTTTAAAGGAAGTTGATTAAAACGAGAAGAAAATTTGAAATTATAGACGGCAGTGTTTTTTTACCCCTTTTAGGAGGGTGGAGGATATGAGGGGGTAAACTGCCAGTTCCTACCAAAAACTTTGCTTCAAGGAAGCTCCAAAAAATGCAGTCATGACAATCTATAAAGTAACAGTATGAGCAAGCAAATGAGATATTATGCGACCAATGCCCTAATGGTTAGGTCCTATACTTTATGTGGAGCTAACTACTCAGTACAATATGCTTTATGAGAAAGCAAAGTTTATTTTTTGGAGTGGAACTCTTTTTTTTTTAATGGACCTCACAAGGTGCTTATTTAAAGGCATATTTCAAGTTCCCTCTTAAAAACTATGTTGATGCACCTATCCAGATTGTATAGTGAACTCCCACCATGGAATTCTAGCTTTCTTCTAAGCTGCTTTGGGTGCAAATGCCTACATTGTAAGGTTAACTTCTGCCATAAACCTGGAATTGGGATACCACCTAGGAGAGCTGCTTGCTCTGTGGTGTCCATGCTCAAGATAAGCATGCCACTATAGATTTGATCAACATCTTCTCCCGTAGAGATCAAATTGACTACCGAAAACTACCAATTACCCTTTAATAGAAACACTCATGAGACGAATATCAATTTGTTAGAAAATGTAATTTGCACTATCACGTAAACCACTTTTTGCTGACAAAAAATATCAAAACTCAGCTACTTTCATACTAAAAATGTAACAAATGGTGAAATCAAAGTAAAAAATGAACAAATAAGCAGTGAAGCAAAAAAACTCACACTAAAATCCAATTCCCATCAAGCAACTCAGGACACTCAGTTGGTGCGGGAGTAGGATTTGCTGCCTCCAGCTGAGAAACGAGCTCCAAAGCCTCAGCCCGAACCTCCGATGAAGCCCGAAACCCGAAATCTGTCCCATAAACTGTATCCACAAAGCACCTTTTCAGTTCTAGAAGCTTCTCGTCTTCTCCACCACTCACATCTACAGCTGGACTGCCGTTGTTACCCCACTCATCCTCATATTTCGGAGGGTCCGAGTCCGTTAACTTCGTAACCGGCTCGGATTCCAGCTCCGACTTCTCTCCCCATTCATCAACGAACCCGGTCGTTTTATCGTCGGATTTATCATTGTCCGGTTCAATACCGGTCGCTTTTTCCGGGTCATTGGAGGATTGAACCGAGAAATTGGGAAATTTTCGAAGCTTAGGGTTTGAGAATGAAGAAGGAAGAAACGTGTGAGGTTTAATGGTGGTTTTGGGGGGTTTTATGGTGAAAATTAGAGGAGTGTAAAGAGTGGACATTTTCTGATTGATTTTTGAAAATCAGCGTTATGCGGTGGTTGTGGACGGTGAGATGATGGCGGAAGTGGTGGTTGTCGACGGTGGCTTTGAGACGGTTGGTTTTTACTTTTTACAGATGGTGAAGGTGGATTTGGCACGTTTTACTTTGGTATGAATTGAAGGGAGCGTTGCGTAGTGCTGACACGTGACTACGAGTCACGGGTTTCGAGAAGGGAAAATTGCCTTTGATTACCTTGCTTACCATAGATGCTCATGGTCCGATGCTTCTCGCACCTCAGGCATAGCGATATCTTACTGCACCAAAATATACTTTACTTTGGTTTGAATTAAATTTTACTTCACGAAATTTTTGTAATTTTTTGTTTTCCGAAGGACACACGACATGTTGAATTTTTTTTTACTAATAATTTTTTGATATTTGAGTCTTTGGATTGTTACTAGAATTGATATTTTGACACATGGTTTTGAATTGTGATAAATAATGTAAAATTGAGCTTTTTTTCTTTTTGTTAATGTTTAATTGTACTTCAATTCGGGTATGGTTCTGTTTTGATATGAAACAGTGAAAAATATTTTATATAATTCTATTTACAAGTATTCCTTAATTAAAACATCTCCTATTTTATTTTTTCCTATCTATCTAAAATTTCGATGAGCAAATTATTGATAATAATGTTAAATTGAACTTTTTTTTCTTTTCATTAATTTTTAATTGTACTTCGCTTCGGTTATGGTTCTACGAAAAATATTTTATATAATTCTCATTACAAGCATTCTTTAATTAAAACATCTCCTATTTTATTCTATCTATCTGAAATTTTGATGAAGCAAATTGCTGATAATAATGTTAAACTGAACTTTTTTCTCTTTTCGTTAATTTTTAATTGTTCGGATATGGTTCTATTTTGAGATGAAAACAAAAGGGACAGTGAAAAATATTTTATATAATTCTAATTTACAAGTATTCCTTAATTAAAACATCTCCTATTTAATTTTTCCTATCTATTTGAAATTTCGATTAGCAAATTATTGATAATAATATTAAATTGAATTTTTTTTCTTTTCATTAATTTTTAATTGTACTTCGCTTCGGGTATGGTTTTATTTTGAGATGAAAACAAAAGGGACACTGAAAAATATTTTATGTAATTCTAATTTACAAGTATTCCTAAATTAAATCATCTCTTATTTTATTTTTTGTCACGCCCCGACCTCGGAGAGCGCGACCGGCGCTCAATCGAGATACACCGGTCTAGCAAAGCCTACTTGATACCTTATACCCAACCTTACCCATGAAAAGTGATACCACAATATAAGAATCAATAACAAGAAATAGACATGAGAAGAGTAAAGTATTCCACATTCTTTTTTCATTACTCAAAGGAGCTTCATTTACAATTTCTAAAATATTAGTTCCAAGTTACGAGGGAAAAATATGTTTGACAAATACCAACACTTCTAGTTCATTACCCAACATCGAACACCACCCACAACATATCTAAGGAGCCTCTAAGTACAACTGAAAAGTAGTATGGAAGTGTCGGCGACAAGGCCCTAGCTATACCTCAAAACACAATGTACAACGTCAAGTGACATAAGGCCCGGAACAAAATAGGGCTTACCAAAACCTGCTGAGTAGAGGGTAACTGCTAACGAGGATCAAAGTTGGCCGCTTACGAACCACCTGCATCCATTAAAGATGCAGCGCCCCCGGCAAAAGGGACGTTAGTACATGTGGAATAGTACTAGTATGTGAAGGTAAATGTCCTCTTTCGAAATAGAATGCCAATATAAGAAGGGGAAACCATATAAGCAACAAGTATCAATCAATGATATCCAAATGCCAAGTTAAAACATAATAATTTTTAAAATATGAAAATAATATTATTTTTGGTTAGGAGATCATTAGCACCGATATACCACTATATTTTTATCACGGAGTCCAATCACACCCGATCGGCTAGGCCACAAATAATGTGGATTAACATGTGATACGAAAAAAAGAGTGTTACCAAGAGTAGGAACCACCATGCGCGCGACATGACGTCCGAACTCCACCCGATCGGCTAGGCCGCCTTCCCACATATAGCGTGTGGTTCGACTTCTAATCCAAGGCTATTAACATTCTCTTCCCAATCAAGGGGAATAATCTCAATACATCAATCTCATCCCAATTAAGGAAAATAATCACAATCCATTCCTACACTGGCACGTGTAGTTTCGGGTGTGGTCCTTACGACCCACCCTTTCTCGGCTCGCTAATGATACTCCCAAATATATTTTGTTTTGTACACAAAAGAAACAGAAATATAAATACATTCACCTCATAACTTTTCACACCATATATCGCTTGATTAGTACTTTCAACCACTCACAACATCATTTTCTCATTGGCTCTCTTGGCCATACATATGATTTCTCACTCATGGCACGATGGACGTATCTCATATTCCACACTTTTATTTCTTTACTTTCAAGGATCATCATCATCATAAACATCAACATATGGAATATTCCAGAAATCATAACTTTAAGTTCATTAGTAATGAAGGTTTTAAACACAATGGATTCCTTTCCAAAGAACGGAGCACAATGACTGGCAATCGAAATACAAGTTAAAATCATAAACGAGTAATACACCATTTCTTTTTGAAATACTTCTCTAAAAAGGCAATGCACAATTTCATCTAATGGGTAAATAAGAACTCAAAACACATTGGAAACACTGACAAAGGAGGTCATGGTGATTTACAATGGAAACACAAATTCAAATCATACGCTCTAGTAACAACAACCATGGCCACATTTTATATCTCACTCTTACTTCTTTCACTTCAAAACATCGTCATAGTTTATCAACAATAAGGGCATTTGGAAATAGTATGGACTATAAGAATCTTAAGCACATTGGGTTTTCTTTCCAAGTTAAGCATAAAGAACTTTCATTTCAAACATGAATTGAAGTTATAACATTATAATACCTAAACCATCTTGAACACATTTCCGAAGGAGATCATGATGAGATAGGAGTAATTTGGATCACGTTTTGAGTACATACATCTTTTGACACTTTGCTTACTTGAGATAATCGAAGTTATTAAGAACAACTCGGAACATGGGAATTAGGAACTTAGGCCAACCATACTTGAAACTTACGGGGACATCATGGAATTCGATTTCTAAGAGAGGAGTTTAGCCAACTTACCTTTCTTGAGCTTTTCTTAGATTACTACAATGTCCCAATACTTCTAGCAACCTCAATCTATAGAAACATAATCAAATTTAACTATAGTTAGGAAGGTGTTCTTAGATTTAGCCCATTTTGACATTTCATCAAACACCTAATATGCAAAAATCTATTATAAGGTCCCATAATAGAAATTCCTCTACCCTCACCATGGATTTTCAAGCAGCCAACCAATATACAATATCCCTACAATACTCATCAACCATCATTAGTCACATGCATACCCAACCATTTGCTTCAAACCCACCAAAATCACATTTCCTAGCCTTCACATACTCCCAAATTCGAGATTGAGGGCTTATGAATTCCGGTCACTATCCCACAATCCCTACCATGATAACATCCTACTTAAACCCATTATTAAACTTTGCGTAAAATCTAGGGATTGTAAGTAGAAGGTCTTGTGAGTTTCCCTCTTGAATTCTCAAGGTTTGTTCAAGAATTGTAGAGTATAATTTGATAGAGCTTCTCCCCCTCTCTCTCTAAATTGATACCCTCACTCTAAAACATCAAGTTATATATTATAAAATGAACCCCCTTATTTCAAAATAGGGTTGGATAAGAAAATTTTCAAAAATACCCCCCTCGATGTCAATTATGTGGTGCAATTCCGTGGTAACAGAACAGATATGTGGCCAGCAGAATGGCCACAAAATGGTATGTCAATTCCACAATGCCATTTCGCGATAGCATAATGGTTATGCAGCAAGCAAAATGGCCACAAAATAATTTTCTAATTCTGGGTTGGTTTTGGTCAATTCCTCGATGCAATTTCGCGGCAGCATAATGGTTATACGGCCAGCATAATGGCCACAAAATGATTTTCAAATTTGAGTTGCTTCTGATTCATTCCGTGGTGATTCCGTGGTCAGCGAAACAGATCTGCGATAGCATAATGGACCACAGAATTATCGTTTTCTACAAATTCTTCTACCAACTCCACGATGCATTGCACAATCCAAAAATCCAATTTGTGGCACATTAGCTTATCTTGGCACCATAAAAACTTAAATCCTTGGTGAACTTTTACGGGGCCTTACATCCTCCCCTGCTTAGGATCATTCATCCTAGAATGAGGAGCAGAGCCAAAACACCCAACATAACTCATCTATTCTTTCACACATCACAAGCCCCCAAATTTTTTAGAAATTTCGGCAGAGTCTTCTATATAATTAGGCCTATCTACCTGCCAGAGAATCATCAAAACCACTCCTAACAATACATCCATGACTCAACAAAGCATCAAAATATATATCGATAACACCAATCTCAACATTACAGGCATTACATTATCAAAAGTGGCATCTGGACATGAATTGTACATATTTAAATCATAACACATAGAAAGTAAACTAGCCACAACCATTTGGCTATACAAACAAGTAAGAATAATTTCTTTCAACAACATCCTCGGCCTTCGAGGTGACATCCTTGACACATAGACTTCGCCATAGCACTTTGACTGAGGCAATCTCAACTTCCGGACTTGTCCAACAAGGATGATAATTAGGTACCTCTCATAAGTCAATTACCCATTAACTTCACCTTCAATAGCTTTCACCGGAATAATAGACAAGGGATTTCCAACTGCCTTCTTGGACATAGACACATGAAGCACCGGGTGCATGGAGGACAACGACGGGGAAGCATCATACTCATAGTTTGGCCTATTTCCTTCAAGATTCCATAAGACCCAATGTGAACTACACCTACTTTACCTTTATTAACAATTCGCACAATATCTTCATGGAGAGAATCTTGAGGATAACCCATTCACTTTCTTCAACTCTAAATCTCTACGTCGAACACCCGAATTAAACTCTTGGCGACCTTCAACAATTATTCTATGATGCGCTAGAATGAATATGACCATAGAGTTTCCTACCCAATATGTTTGATCATGGAATGATGATTCTTCATTGACATGCTTGAACCTACAACCCCGGTAAGTTGAATGCAAATAGGGACGGCGGGGTTCGAGATTGAGATGGAATTATTCAAGAATCCATCAATGTGCTGAGTAG